GCTTCTAATAAAGCATTTTTATGTCGATTCCTCATTGCGTGCCATATTAATTGGGAACACTGTGTTTTAAGGATGCTTTAGCTGCTTTAATCTTTCTAATGTTCTTGACGGCATCTCTTTTCATCGTTTTTGCTGTTCTGTATGGTAACAGGAGGACCATCTGTCTTTGCCTCCTATCCAACTATTCATGTGTTTCTCATCGTTGTTTTAATCCGTGGGTACTTTTGACCTTTCATGAGAAGCTTTAAAAGAAACTCTATTAACACTTTTTCTTTTTTTTTGGATCTCTTACTACATTTTGGTCTACAGTACTCCACCAAGCAGTGCAGTTGACAGCGGGATGCGGTAATCAGCTTGTCTCTCTACAAATATTTCATGCCCGCAAATGGATAGACACAAGCAGTGTCTGGGTAACTGCTATTAAAACAGATTTTAATAATGTAAGTTAAGAGGGAAATGCTTCTGAAAAGAGCACTGCATTAGGAAGAGCAGACTCTGTTTTTGGCCCCCATCACTACTTCCCTCCAGATGTGGTTCCCTTGCTAATTAAACAATGGCCCTGTTCCATCTTGGAGCTCTGAGGTTGAACACGAGCCGCTTCTTCATGAATTAACTACTAATCCCTTGATTCAGCTTCCTGTTTGGAATCCATCCTGCTGTTCAAGAGACTCATAAATAAAGAAAAGTAGCAGCGACTGCTGACACACTGAGTAAACACCTGCAACTAAAGTGTCTTGTTCCATCAGGACAAAATAAAAGTAATTGGTAACCAATTTGTTTCTGCTTTCTTTCATCTGCTTCTTCGTATCTACGGGCCTTTTCATAACATCATTCACCGACAGTCCCATAAAACTGAGTAAGAAATGCATAAAACATCTAAAAATAAGGCAGGAGATAAGGTGCTAATCAAAGGAGGCATCACTATTTTAATATGCTTCCCCAATGATTGTTTTTCAGTTTCATTCTAACGATATTTAAGAGCCTTTTACACTTAGTGCTTTAAGCATTGAGCCAGGCAAGATCTGACAGCACAGTAGCAAAATTAAACTCGTTACAATAAAATCTTATGAATAAAGAAGCGCTCCCAACCAAAATCATAAATAAAAGAAATGTGTCCCTGCTCCTTAAAGGCAAGGAAGCTGGGAGGTGGTAATTCTAAGGAACCTGAGTACAAAGGAAAGAAGTTGGAATCAAACTTCATGCGGCCTGCTCTAAATTACAGTCTAAGGGAGGGACCGGGTGGTTTGAAACTGGCACTGAGCTTTGAAGAGAGAGGAGCTACTTTTTCTCTAACAAACTGCCTTAAAGCACTTTCAGTGAAACGGAGCCTGTATATGAGTCTTGCGGTATGCTGAAGGAGATGCAAAGAACAGCGTGCTCACTTCTATCTGCAAATCTACTACACCACCTGTGCATCAGTTCGGAGCCACCCAAGCAGTCTGGGGGCCAATAACAGCAAAATGATCTATCTGTCTATCTAGGATAGGTATCTATAGCCACAGTCATCACGGCACGTGGTAAAAATCAGACCAAGGCTGATGGAATCACCACTGGATCATAACTCAAAAGCCCCTTTTTGCATTTAAAATTTCCCACCAAGCTTTATCAAGAGTCAAAAGTGGTCATTTGTTTCCTGTCAGCATATGACATGCCCCGGACAGGCATTTTCTAATTGCATCAATGCGATTTTTCTGGCAGGGGACTGAATTTCCCTCTGGTTTCTGCTGACTTCTGCCAGGAAAGCCCTGGGAGGCAGTGCCAGATGGAGGACACCATCTCCTCTGCACCGAGACATCCCGAGGGGTCTGCCACAGTCCAGATTGCGAGCAGTGCTGGCCCAGGAGGAGCGATGACTGTGGTAGCTGGGGAGCCCGCATGGCATTTGCTGAAGTCTCTGATAGCATGGGAGTGCCTGGAGGAAATTGCAATCCTCCTCCCTTGGCAAAAACCCACAAGGGGATGATGATGGTGGGAACAGATCAGTGCCCCTGCAGGGCATGTTAGCTTTTCTATATCTGTGCCACGGGGGATAATCCAATTCCACGATAACATTAACATAGCATAAAATAGTGACGCAAGGAAAGATTTTTCATATGCTCGCCAAGCTGTGTATTTAAAGGACTAAAGCAACACCAGCATTTATTTTTCTGATATGTAACCTCTTATCAAACTACAGAACACAATTCTGCCCTTCACTTTTTTCCCATCTTTGCTGACTTCCAAAATACCTACGGACAAAGTGAGTCTTCCTCTACATGCTACACAGCCTCCTCCTACCCAATCCATCCAGGGAGGCTATGGTTAGAGGGCTTGAGCCATGGGGTGAAGGAAATAAGGCCTGATCCTACAAGACAGTCAAGGCTTCCTGTGGGGTACTGAGCATCCTCGCAAGCTGAGGGTACAGAAAACCTTCCATGACTGAGCCATGACGAATTAGTCAAGGGCCACACAGGCCCCCACAGGGGACGTTGAATTTGCAAATACCTATTGCTAATTAGTGACATTAGAAAAGACAACCAGAGAATACCCCAGATACCTAATGGGGAGATTAAACTATTTTAAAGTTTAATTGGCATGTAATAATGCTCCTTTAAGAAAATCAAGCTCCAATTCTTCTCTTCCAGTCAGAGGTAAAGCCCATAGCACTCTTGTTAAATCAGCTTTCTTCTCCCTTTTGTTACCTCACTAGTGACATCTGCCTGGCTATGCGCCTGGGAACATCCTTGGCCCCATGCTGGGGCTTGTAAAAGTGCGCAAAAATGCACAAAAGCCCTTCTAAAAGGCTGCATCAGAAAAACAGGCACTTGACATCCTAAAACGAAATGTTAGCAAGCTGGGAGTTAATCAGAGTTTAATGCAGCTAAAAGCCAAGATGTGGAATCTGTCCAATAAGGATTTTACTGCTGATTCAAGATTAAATTTAAGTTTCACAGGATATTCAGACTCACATCAGTTAAAGAAAAAAGAGAGCATGCCTGATGAATTTATATTCATGGAGAAAAAGAGCTGAATTAATTTGCAAGATAACCTCACTTCACCTCTTTTGTCCCATTCACTGAGGAGAGGTTCAAATCTAAGGTCGATGAAATATTAAAATATCAATTCTATTTCCTATTGTATCTAAGCCCAAGCCTGATTTTACTATAAAACACACTCTCTTTAGATTTAAAGAAATCCTACCCAAAATAGATAGGAAGGCTTTTGCTCTCGCTGGTTCAACAAGGCTGTCTCTCAACTCCGCCACACAGAAGTACATCCCAATGTCAGCAGAGGTCGGATTGGTAATAGTGAGACGTCTCCCAAAACTACTAATTCCGCTGGTTATTTTTATTCCATTTCTCTTCCAGGAAATGCTTAGTTTCTCAACAGGTCTGCAAGGGGGGAAAAAATACATTCCAGTGAATAATGGCATCTGCACTGATACCCAGAGCATACAACTCACCTTATTCTTCCAATATCCTTGGTAGACTGAGCATTAGCTGCTTAGAAATAAATCCAGATCTAATGGCCATGTATCATGGCTACAAACTACTCATATACAAGCACAGCTAATTGTTATAGCAATGGAAATGAAATGCTAATGATTTGATTTGTCTGAGCAAAGGACATTAAAAATAAAAACTAAGGGAATCAGCTGCAAGGGAGGTGCTTTCATTATGACTCAATTACAGAGGTAGCACTAACTAGATCAAGAACATCTCCGCCTTTAGAGAGAGGTAATCAATTGGCCCTCTTATCATCTAGAGCCTCAACCCTTTAACTTTCCTGCAGTTCAATCCTACTCCCAATATATGCAATGGCTAAATTTCCAGTGCCTTTAATAGGAGTGACTTCTGGCAATTAGTTGGTGTCCTAATGCAAACAACTGAGTAGTAATCACTGGACACAGAAAAACTCTAGTGGGTATATGCAGTACCATGCCACCTCTGCTCTATTTATGCAGCTGGAGGAGAATGGAAGAAAGTCCTCCAAAATCAATTAAGAGGAAGTGTAGGCTGTGAACATGCAATAGGTGACACAACCAGAATAGGATTAACCCCTAACATTTATGGACTTCTGGACCACAGTGTTTGCTGGCAGCAAAATGTTACATTTCTGTTTTCTCCCTTTTTCCTCTACGAGTAACAGGTAGGAAAGCAATTATTTCTAGTGCCTTATTTTCCCAGAAATAATCTGTATGTTAAACTGGCCACACGGCTTGACAAACCAGATTTCTTATTGCTGGGAGAAAAGCAGGCTCTATGCTTACTGCAACCGTGAAATAAAACGGACACTCTTTCTCCCCTTGAACAGAAAGCGGTTTCTTAAAATGGGTCTTTATTATTGCTCCTGCTATTACAATACCTTGCGTTGGCCACGCATTCCAGCATGGTTTCGCTGCTCCCCGCTACCACGCTGGTATTCTGTGGGGGGATTACAATGACAGGAGCCGTCATGTCCGACGAGTCGTTGGCATCTACAAAGGGCAGAAAGAACCGCGTGAAAACACTGCATGAACACCGACGACGACTGAAACCTCCCAGGCAGAGGACGAGGCTATGATTTTCTCTCTTCCACCTTACCCGGGGGGTCTTAATCTCCTCATTAGGGGGAGACCTTCAGCATGGCCATTTTCAGTGGTTTTCATTATACTGTACAAACACGCTGTTTCAATATACTCAGCTTGCCATCATCCAAAACACACAGCTCATGAGGACTACTCCCATATGGAGTGCAGAGGCCTCTCCTAAATGGAGAGCAAACAAATTAAGCATCCTACAGGTTTTCAACTACTGAGCACTTTTATTTTTATCTAACACTTGCTGACTTATATTTTTAAGACCTTTTCATGTGGGTTTTTTTTTTTTAATCTTACAACTTCCATACCATTTCAAAAGAGCCTGCCAGTACTCGCGTTAGTGCTTTAGAAGGATTTTTATACACCGGGGAACAAATACAAAATTAACAAAGCAGCATATCACAGCAACTTCAATCCTTTTTTCTTATCAGAAAAGTAAATAACCCAAATCTGCTTCTCTTTTGTGAGGCAGCAAACTGTAAATAATTTAGCTTATGCAACAGTCAGCAGACACTAGAAAAACGGTAAAAAGGCTGCTTTTTGTTTCATTTCTAAATTTTCTGGGTATGCATTTAATAAATGAATTAAAATACCAATAAGTTATTTCTTTGCTTCGAGCTATTCACTTGGAGGGAACAAACACCCCATAGCTATTTTTTAACATGAATAAGGGAATAATAAAAATTCCTAAAAATAAAGAATCCATTAAAGGAGTAACAGAGAAAAGAAATTAAAATATATCCATATGGATGTAAATCCAAGCTGGCTCATCAAATGCTTTGTGCTAAGGAGGGTTTACCCATGCACAAATCTTTCATTAAGGGTAAATAGAACGGGAGACTGGCAGAGGAAAGGTACCAAGTCCTACTAACTCTACTATAGCAGTGGTTTTCAAGCTGTGGTCTGCAGAGCCGTGGGGGTCCACGGAGCATGGCTAGGTCTGGGAAAGGTGGCTGTAAAGATGGTGGCTCTGCCTGAAGGGGAAGCGCCACTGGTGCTGACGCTGCTCCGGCTCCCCGCACAGCCAGAGGCCACCCAAGTGCCAGCAGGCAGAGCACATCTGGGCAGCCCTGCCTCATCTTGCCACTGCCACCATTTCACGTGGAACCCAGTGGCAAAGGAGCCCTGCAGCCCCTGCGCTCACCCGCCAACATTGATGTAGAAACTGGAACAGGCACGTGTGTGTGTACATGTGTTTGTGTGGGTGTGTCAGTGTGTGAGTGAGCGTGTGAATGAGTGAGAGAGTGCATGCGTGCACGCATACCAGCTTGGATGGAATTTCCATTGGGAAAATTGGCAGTGCCTTCAGGCGCTTAGAGAAACCTTTATTTGGAACAATAAGAACTGCACATATTTTTAGTGAAAAATTAGGTCCTACAAAACTGATGGGAGGCCATCAGCAAAAGTCTGGTGGGGTCTAGGGATACCTACTAGCTGATCTTCACAGCACATCTAATACATATGAATATGTGAGGCTTCGGAGCAAACAGAGGCATGATAGACAGGGTATTTGTGCTCAGACAAAATGCAGGAAAAGTGCCGGCCGTTGAACAAGGGGCTGTCTATCACTTTCATTGACCTTACTAAGGCATCTGACACTAAGGCAAAATGGCCTCTGGAAGAGTCTCAAGAAGCTTAGATGCCCACGTAAGCTCCTCACCGTGGTCAGGCAACTCCGTGGCAGTCAGCATGGACAAATCAAGTACAACAACAACCTCTCTGATCCCTTCCTGATCTCCACTGGAATTAAGCAAAGCTGTGTACTCGTGCCTACCCTGTTCACCATTTTCTTTACCAACAAGTGTCAGACAATCTTGGGGAAGGTGAGGAAGATGTTTACGTCCACTTCTGGGCAGACGGAAATGTCTTCAACCTCAGATGGCTACAGGCTCACACAAAGACCTTGCAACAACTCATCCGTGAACATCCGTTTGCAGACAATTGTGCCCTAGTGGCCCACACCCAACATGACCTGCACCACATGACCACTTGCTTTGCTAGCGCAGCACAACTCTTCGGACATACCATCACCCTAAAGAAGACTGCAGTTTTTCATCAGCCAGCTCCACGCCAAGCTTATGTGCCACCGAAGATGACTACCAAAGGAACTGGACTAAATGCTGTCAAGCAGTTCACCTACCTGGGAAGTGTCATCTCATATGATGCCACAATCGACCAGGAGGTAGACAACAGACTCTCAAAAGCTAGCAGTGCCTTCGGCAAAGTCTACAAGCTGATCTGGAATAGTCAAAACCTGCGGGTGCAGACCGAAGTCGAGGTGTACAGAGCTGTTATTATCTCCGCCATACTGCACAGTGCTGAGTCATGGGTCTTATATCGATGCCATGTACACCTCCTTGAGTCCTTTCATCAGCACTGTCTCCGCACCATTCTCAAGACCCAGTGGCAGGATTGTCACCAACATGAAGGTGCTACAAAGAGCCAATACCACCAGTATTGAGGTGACTGTCCTGCAGACTCCACTGCGGTGTGCAGGCCACATGGCCCAGACGGATGACAACCGCCTACCAAAGGCTGTGCTGTACAGCGAATTGGTAACTGGGAAATACAACAGCAGGGCCCCACCCAAGCACTTCAAGGACACTCTGAAGTGGTCCTTTTCTGCCTGCTGCAGTATTGACCACAAACTGTGGGAAACAGACTGCAGATCATGATGCCTGGAGGCTCCAAATCAAAAAGGCAACAGCCTTCTTTGAATGTCAACGCAGAGCCAACACTGAGGAGAAGAGGAGTAGAAGGAAAGATACACCCTCAACAAGCAGCAAGCAGCCATACACGTGTTACCACTGCAGCAGGGTTCGCTTCTCTGCAGCTGGAATGATTAGTCGCTAGTGGGCCTGCAACCGGCATGGGCAGTTACCTTCTTAACATCTTCATCTGCAAAGACCCACCAAGAATGTGAGGGTTTGCCATGGCAATCTGAAGAACCCCTAGGGAAATGGCTGCCTGCATATTCAGGGTACTGTACCTGATGGCTTTCATCAAGAAGCTTCAATATGGGGTTTCTTGAGGAAGAGAAAACAATTCTGACACACTCAAAACCCTTGATAGCTTTTTGGCTGGAAATGAATTGATGCTAGACAGTGATGTGAAAAGCAAGCTCGAGGAATATTTGCTGGTGCTCAAATCTGTTTCACCAGTACTGAAATGGTCAATGAGAACGAGTGGATACGTAACCTTTTGTAGCAGACTGAAGCTCTAGCTCCCGTCTAATAGCTAAAGAAGAAGAGCAATTACTCAGGTTATCCAGTGGTTGGGGACTGAAACTTGAATTCAAGCAGGAACCTCTTGTCCGACTCTGGTTGAAAATAAAATAGGAGCACCCTGATCTGACAGATAAGGCCATTCAAGTCTTGATGCTGTTCACCACCATGTACTTATATGAAAGTGGGTTTTCAGCCTTAGTATCAATAAAAATGAAATACCAAAACAAATTGGATGCTGAAGGAGTTCTAAGACTGAACCTGTCACCTATCCTACCACACGTTCATGTGCTTCCTACCAAGAACCAAGTTCAATCATCTCATTAGAACAAAAAGGTGAGGTCACAAAATTGTATTACTGTCGTTGATATTATTTTTATTTTTAATACAACGGTTTGCCAGGAATTATCTACTTATGTTCACTGTGCACATAATAGATTGCCAAAGGGGTCCACACCTCCATTTGAAATGTTTTAGGGTTCTGCGAATGAAAAACGTTTGAAAACTACAGTGCTACAGCAGAGAGCCACAAAGAGCAAGAAAGGAAGGAAAATTCAGTTTATCTAGTAAGTATGGTAGTAGCTGAAAGACCTTTGATTCTTTCCTCACATGCTGGACAGAGCTGAGGCTTAAGGAAATATAAAATGGAAAAAAAAAAAGCAACATTTTTGTAGTAGCATTTTGAACCTTGCAGTGTTCAGATTTTTATTCCTTAATCATGTTCTCCCCAGTGGGAGGTATGCCAGGAGAGAAGGCAGCATGGATTGCAATCTTAGGCCTTTATTCAGAAAAGTGCTAACACGCTCCCTGGGACACAGGCTCATTCAGGGCTGCGCTTCTGTGACGTTTTAGCTTGGGGTGTGGGCCTAAGCACTGTCCTCAGTGGAGATGCTTTGCTAAAGTGAGGCACTAGCCGCTTCCTTTTTTTCAATACAGTTACAAATGCATCTCCAAACATCCCATAAAGATTTACAACTTCAGTGATTTTCCCGTCTTTTACCCAAAATGGCCAGGAACGGCAAGCTGGATATTGGCATGTGGCAAATCAGCTTTTGAAGATGACCATAGGGATCTACCACTACTCGCAACTAGGGAGGAAATATAAAAAAGAATGGCAATCAGATTAACAATTTCTTACTGATGAGGGAAATAACCACAGAAACTAAAACTCACCACTGATTTGTCCAGAGGTGAAGGATATCAAGAGTAAATGTTAGAAGTTCAACAAACAAGGCACTAATTTGGCATGAATCACTACTCATCTCTACCTCTGGGAGAGAAAAACTATGCATGCTACTAATCAGCTCCTTGGGAGGGTGAATCAGACCACTTCAAAACCCATCACAGAATAGAAGCAGGCTTTGTTGTAACCTCAAGGAGTTTGCCACATGAAAATGGCCTTTTGTAGAGCAAACAGGTAAGTGCAGGAACCAGGAGTGCACTTTACCTCCCCAGCCACAACAATACTATAGGCAGGGCTTCATCTACTTCTTTAACACTAATTGTAACGAGGAGACCAATTAATAGAATGTGGGCTTATTTCTTTTCCATTCACGCGGTGTCCTAGAAATTGTAATAAGTCGATTACAATTACTCATCGAAGAATGGTTTTCAAACACGCAGGGTTAAAAAAGATGCAAATCAAGACCTAGCAAGTTTCTTTCGAATTGTGAC